TCAATATAAACATTTCTTCAGTTTCTTACATTTATAACCTCTTAATTTCAAAATTGTCTACATATGTATTTTATATATATATACATATATCTATTTACTGTATTAGCCATTAGGAGTAACTCTGGTCTGACTAGCTGGTGATGAGGTCCTAACCACCGGTGGTGACAGAGCAGAAAGTAGGGTTAGGTCCTTATAAAATGTTTGATTCATGTTTACTTTTGCTAATGAGTCTGAAAATGCTTGGTTTTGATCAGAAATATGAAAATGACAATGACAACTGGAATTTGTGAGCATATCTCAAATTATATAAAAATTATCAGTGACAGAGAAAAAAGACTTATGTTACATTTAATAGTGTTAAATATGAAGACATTTCAAACTTCCATGAAGGATAGTGAAGTGTTCCATGTAGAAACCAGTACAGATTTTGGTAAGCTTGTTAAGATACAAAACACTCTAAGCAATGTTCTGAACGTTCTTTTCATTAGGAAAGTGAAGATGACTTTTACAGCTGTTTGAGGTGCTGTAATATGTCTACTGACACTCCCAGCTGTTTTACTAAACCGGCCGTCTGCTCTAAGATCCAGGAGAGGCTTGGGCTTTCAGAATGCACGTGCTCCCGTGTCCCACCACATTCTAAAGATGAACAGTGGGCTCTACCAAGGCTCTTGCCACAGTTTTTGTTAAGCTCAGCATTATCTTCACAGAGTCTTTCATCTTTAGCTTTATCACTCTCTTTCTCAGCTGGAACTACATGACAAAGGTCCATATCCTGAATGGAGTCCAATAAATCTACAACATGAGGCTGTGGGGTGATTGATTTCAGATGTTTGAGCACACACTCTTCACACTGGCCAACTGCATCCAGAAGATTATTTATTTTACTGATCAAAGCCGAACTATTATCCTGAAGGTGACACCAGGAGAGCAAAGCACTGAATGAAAATATAAACAATAGTTAAATAGGAAAAAAATTAAATAATCACGGGGTTTTAGAATTTTTGATGCTAAGCCCCATATGTTTCTTTTCTAGACAACACAATGCAAAGCTGAATTAATAATAACAATGCAAGTCAAAATCAGGAAAGTAACAATGGTAAAATAGGATTTAAAAAATATATACAGTAAAACCTTGGATTATGAGTAACTTGGTTTGCGAGAGTTCTGGAGCAAACATTTCTAATACATTTTACCATGGTAAACGAGTCATGTCTTGCAATACGAATTATGCTGGCAAACCAAGGTATCAGTATATAAGGATATTATCTTTCAATAGAAATTAAACAATTGGGCTCAATCACATAAACTGTTTATAATTCATAACCCCTCATTCACTCCCCCACATCTACTTTTCCTCATTTTGGATTTTCCCCTTTATGACTGTGTAGCTCCTGCTGAAGAGGGGTATTGCTCTGAAAAAGAGACACCAGAAGAATTCGTTTCTCCTTTAAGGATATCACACAGCTTCTAAACTAGTGATTCTCAATCTTGGATGCACATTAGAAATCACCCGAGGAGCTTTTAAAACTATCAAGGCCAAAGTCACACCCCAGACCAATGAAATCAGAATCTCTAAGGGTATTATTTTTTAAAGCTTCCCAGCTAATATCAAGGTGCAGCCAAGGTTGAAAGCCATTGTTCTAAACATATACAGCATTTGCTTGCCATCGAAACTGAAGGTTAGGAAAAAAAGTTTTGAGGCAACTTCACTTTTCCAACTTTTTTATAAACAGACATTGTTTGCTAAGCTAACCATTTTCTTGAAGAAGGTAAGAATTCTTCTAATCCTAATAAATAGTTTTCTTTACTTGTCTATTACAGACAGCACTTTTGATTTTTGGTGTTTCAGATTGTTCAGATAACCATGACATAAAATGGTTGTGAAAAATGTTTTAAAATGGAATCAATTGATATAAAGATTTAGTGATAAGCTTTCTAAGCTTATAAAAGATTAACTTGATGTGAAGATGAACACCTGATAATTTTCCTACTGTAGCCTATAAATTCTGATTCCTGAGCATTGAATTTTCTAAAACTTTAAACACAGTCATTATTTTCTTTGTCTTGATGACTTTTATTTATTGCCCTTTTAAAAGTCAGTGATTCTTTGCAGCATCTTCTCTATTGAAGGTGGTTTAAAAGGCATAAAGTATCAAAGAGGACAACCCTGTGACGCTCCTTGTTCATGTGCGATTTGACCACCTGGCTCTGACATGTGCCATTATTGCTATGGGGTCTTGACATCTTGATAGGCGTTCAGTGTCTAGGACTAAGGGAAATGGGCTCATTTTTCTCTCTATAGCAGCCATAATTTTCATCATGTACTTCTAGTCTAGAAGTCTGTCATACTGTGTACTGTGTTCTGCCACATGTGTAAGACTAAAAGCTTTATTCAAAACCTGGATCTTTTAAATTACTTTGAGATATAGTTCAGGCCACAAAAAATACACACCTTTCTATCATTTCTTTGCAATAAAGGACACCTGGCTCACTTACTAAAGTGGATAAACCCACAATTTTGACTTTTGAAGGCATTATCATTCTATGCTCTGTAGCACTCGTGTGGATTTAACACTAGGAAAAGCATTTTAGTTTAAACACTTTATTTTTATACATTACTTTTATAAAAATCCTCCAGTAGTACTGAGGTTAAAATGACTCAGCATTGAAATTTAAAAAATCACCTCAAAGTTCCTCTGAGTTGTCCATAGTTTATAATGACTTCTGCACCTTCTTTATAACCTTGATTGAAGCCTTGTTGCAGAGAAACTGCTTTGCCAGCCTCTAGTCCATCTCTATAACCTTCCTAAAAATAAGTAATGAAGAATTGCACCTGTAACTAACATCAAATGAACCACTGTAGATTTTCCCAGAAAGTCACAGAACCCATTTAGAAAATTGATGAAATAAGCCTTTCCTGTGTATATTTAATATAAGGTTCTATAACATATGGTATAGCCACATAAAGTAGGCTATGCTCATAAAACTGTATTATTGGTTTATCCCGTTTTTGAAGTCTAGACTTATTTGGCACACTTAAAAATACTAATTCTTATACAGTTTTTAAACATCCTGGGTTAGCAATGGCATCACAGAAAGGACACATAGAAAAGAGAATTACGTGTCTGGCCCTTTTGCAACTGATAGGATTGGAGTGGGAGGGTGAGAAGGCTGAACAGTAAGTAGTTACCAAGTCTTGAATAATTAACTGAAGTAGAGAACTAGGAAATTGGTTTAGCAAAAGGTAAATGAGAAGTCTGGTGTTAGAAATTTTGCTTTACACCTAAATTCAATCAAAGTGTGAATTCTCTGTGGGCAGGGATTTTGTCCTGCCTCTCCTCTGGTGCCACAGCACTCAGAAGATGCTCAATAAAAGATGCTCCCGCCTCACATAAAGTATTTCTGAAATCGACAACATGGTTGTTGGGCTAAACAAGTATTATTTTACATTAAACAAAAGCTGATTTACGGGCAAGTTAATTAATTATTGGCAAGGATATTAAGTAGAAGTGGACCTCACCATTTGGTCCTGACTCTGAACTAAGTTAGCTCGCTTGAGTGCTCCACCTAGAAATTCGGTGTGTGGTATTAAGCTTAGTCTCAATGAATAGTGAGGCAAATTAGAAATGGACAAATCACATCTAAGAAATAAAACAAGAAACTAACTTTACTATTTCCTTACTTAGCTACCAGTATTCCATATTAACTTTCCCTCATTGCCCTTTGACAACAGTCTTACGTTCATTTTTCCCATTTAGATTAATACCACCTCTAACTTCCGGCTCCTTATCCATTCAAGCAACCCGTGTAAACTGTGTGCGTGTCCTCTGACAGCCATAATTAGTAGTCAGCTTCTACATTTCTCCTCCACCCCCTTCCCTGTGATCCTCATCAAACTGCAATCTCTTCAACAGTTAGTTTATTCTGGTCGGACCCAGTGTCTCACCCACCCACAGACCACGCAGGAACGCTCTCTGTGGTTTCACACGCTTTCAAGTAACCCATTGGGAAATCCTAGCAGGATGCGGGCGGGTCTGGGTCACAGCGGGTAGGAAGGGCAGGCAGCATCTGCCGGGACCACTCCGGCCTCTAATCTCCGGACCCAGCTTCTTCACAACTCCGCGCCCCTCTCCCCACGACCCAGCATATCAAGGGACCCCCGCGCCCTCCACGCAGCTTTACTTTGACGCGTCTCTGCATGTGGTTCCGCCATTCCCGCTGCACCAGGAGCGATTCGTCCGCTTCCTCGTCAAACACATCCCCCTCTTCTCTCTGATTGCTGACCGAAGTTGCTGCTTGAACCCACGACATCACCGAGGCAACCACAAGGCAGCTGAGCATAGGAAACGGAAACGCCTGCAACTGCTTCCGGTCTGAGGGGCGGGGCGACGACTGCAAGGCGGGGGTCGCGGGGCGGCTGCGCGCGCGCGCGCGTGCGCGTGGGTGTCCGCGGTGNAACTGCTTCCGGTCTGAGGGGCGGGGCGACGACTGCAAGGCGGGGGTCGCGGGGCGGCTGCGCGCGCGCGCGCGTGCGCGTGGGTGTCCGCGGTGGGCGCTGTCTTGGGTGGGTCCTGCCTGTCGCCAGCGCTTTCGGATCCCTGGTGTTTTCCAGAGCCCTCAGTGGACTCAGAGGGTCGGCGTGCGCCTGTTGTGGGCGGGGCGGATTCTTGTCTCGCGGGGCCCGTCCGGCCTTGACCTCTGCGGAAGACAGCTTGCACCCTCCGCCAACACTTCATTTCCCCCGGGGTCTCCACAGTCGACTGGGTTTTGGAGTCGCGCGCGTTTGTATAACCGTTCAAGGTAGTTCAGCTGATGGGCTATTACTGGCCAGACACTCCCATGTCTTTGAGAATCTCCCTCTGTGCAATTAAGGGATTGGACAGCCTGACGTTTTAATTATTAGGAGCGTGGAGCAAAGGAAAAATAGCATCGAAAAGTTAAAGACCGCAGCCATTTTGAGACCAATAAATATAGAGTACATTTATAAAACAAATATTTCTCATTAATTCACAATATCCTTCGCTGGCTCCCTAAAAGTAGACTATTGGCTCAGTGAGGGTGGACACTTGTTTACGATATATACTCAGCATCAGTAAGGTTCTGACGCTAGTAAATGCTGAAACAGATGCTAGTGAATGAATGACACCAGTAGTACTCCTGTTTTTGCCTTTTTTTGCATGGTCATGTGGTAACGATTATTTATTTATCTAGCAAATTTCTTTGAATACCTGCTTTGTGCCCGGCAGTGTTGTAGGTTTTTGGGATACATCAGTGAATGATACAAAATTTCCAAACTCTTGTGGATTTTACATTCATGTAAAATTGACGGTAGATTAACAATAAGCACTGTATCAGTAAATGATATAGTTTGTTACAATATCATGAATGATACATGCTATGAAAACAAAGTAAGGGGAACCATTGTAAGGGTGATGGTATACTTCTAAGGATTTAG